TTTTTTTTTATTTAGGGCTACACTTCACAAATCAAACTCAAAATTATAATAATATTTTAAACTGTATTATTATAATCATATTCATTATATATATATACACACATGTATATTTTTTTAAGCTGCATCATAATGATCGTATCTTTTTTTTAGAGATTTTAATTCTTGTAATCTCATGATTTTGTAGAGTTCTAAAATTTATAATTCTATTTGATTTTTTTGGAGGTTTTAAATTTTGCAACCTTATAATTTTGTAGAGTTTTAAAATTTACAACTCTATTTAATTTTTTTAGAGGTTCTAAATTTTACAACCCCATAATTTTATAGAGTTCTAAAATTTACAACTCTATTTTAATTTTTTTAGAGGTTCTAAAACTTACAACCTCATACTTTTTCTTGATTGGGTTCAAAAGTTTGCAGCCCATATATCTTAAACATGAATCTGACCAACAATGACAGATGAACTTCTTGCCTTGAGATGGTACTTCAGTACAGAAAAAGGCTTGAGAGAAAAAACGTGTAGACAATTTCATGTACAAAATATCATAATGAGATTAAAGTAGATGAGTAAAGGATAAATTTTTCTACTTTTTTTTCCCAAAATTTCTCTCCACACACACTATCTCACACTTCTCTCACTACTTCCAATACATTCACTTTCTCTCCACAAAGTTTGCTATGTTGGTTTTTAATGGTCTGCCTTCCTACGCCTATATATAGACATTTGAAGCAAACTCACTACTTTTTTTGTATTTATTTTTTTAATTAGTCAATCATTTTTTTAATCCTTTATTTTTATTTTGATTAGCTGCTTTTATCTCTAAAGGATTATCCACACTCATGTATAATAATTTTGTAGATTTTCCTACGTTATTTTTCACCAAACTCCCCACTAACACATTTTACTCTTTCTTCACGCACCCACTTCTTCCAGGAAGTTTTCCAACCTCCCACGTGACACTTGTAGTTTTTTTTTTGTTTTTTGTTTTTCTAACAAACCTTAACCATAAATTAACCATAAACTGTATCCAAAATGACAATACAACGTGTCTAATCTAAAAAACATCTAAAACACAAACTTCTACTAAAACTAAATATCCTTAAGAGATACAACACCCATATGAGTGGTGTGCTCATGAAAGACCTTGGGTAGCAATCCCTTACTGAGAGGATCCGCAACGATAGAGTTTGTCATTATGTGCTCTATAGACATCTGTCCACTCTGAACACTTTCTTTAACAACTAGGAACTTGATGTCTATATGCTTCGACTTCGTCGAGCTCTTGTTGTTGTTGGAATACAACACTGCCAACCTATTGTCATAAAATAACTTGAGTGGTCTTTCTATGCTATCTACAATGCGTAGCCCACTGACAAAGTTTTGTAGCCATATTCCGTGGTTGGATGTCTCATAACACGCTATAAACTCCGTTGCCATGATGGAAGAAGCTATGAGTGTCTGCTTAGCACTCTTCCAGGAAATAGCTCCTCCAGCAAGTAGGTAGATATAGCCTGACGTGGATCTTCGACTATCTTGGCATCCGGCGAAATCAGAATCAAAATAACCGATGATCTCCAACTGATCCAATCTCCTGTATGTGAGCATGTAATCTTTTGTTCTTTATAAATACCGCATGACCCGTTTGACTACTTTCTAATGATTCATTCTTGGATTACTTAAATATCTCCCTAGCATCCTAACAATGTATGCAATATCCGGACGTGTACAAACATGAGCATACATTAGACTCCCTATAGCTAAAGCATAAGGAATCTTCTACATTTCTTTAATCTCAAAGTCATTCTTAGGGCATTGACTTAAACTGAATTTATCTCCCTTAGCTACAGGGGTATCACTTGGTTTACAATCCTACATGCCAAATCTCTTAAGTAGCTTTTCGATATAGCTCTTTTGTGGTAATCTAAGAATACACCGAGAGCGATCTCGGTGTATCTGAATCCCTAATACAAAAGAGACATCACTAAGATCTTTCATTTCAAATTTCTTTACTAGAAATCTCTTGGTCTCGTACAACAAGCCTATATTATTGCTGGCAAGCAGTATGTCATCAACATATAAAACTAGAAAAATATGCTTACTCTCACTGAACTTGTGGCATATACAATCATCCACCGCATTTATCTCAAAACTGAATGAGATGATAACTTAGTGAAATTTAGAATACCATTGACGAGATGCTTGCTGGAGTCCATAAATAAATTTCTTTAGTTTGTAAACCATTTGCTTTACATCCTCCGACACAAAATTTTTTAGCTGCATCATATAAATTGTCTCATCAATTTCACCATTGAAAAATGTTATCTTAACATTCATTTAATGTAACTCAAAATCGAAATGCGCCATTAATGCTATTATAGTCCTGAAAGTTAAGTTTAAATAAGGATATTCAAAAATTAAAACTTAGGGTAGTAATTGAATTTTTCTTTAAAAAAAAAAAAAGATTGTGTCCTAGACGATAATTGGAAAATTTGATCATAGGAGGAAACGCTAACATTCCTTACTTTGCGACGACTTTTTAAAGATGAGATACGATTGTTATTGTAGACAGGGCGACGCACAGTTAGAAACCTGTGGTTCACCCACTTAAAGCTATCTATCCTTCGCCAGTCGCCCACCAAAAACCGATAAACCATTTTACAGTTCTTCACTATCTCCACTCACTCCCTCACTCTGTTTGAGAATAACATATCATGCAGCTTCTTCTGCCGCCACCAGCTTCCGCCAAATTCCCTTCAATTCAAACAACGACGACGTTTCACACCCGCCACCACCACCAACACCACTACCACTACACATCGTCCCAACTACTTCTCTTCTCCGCCGCCGCCTCTGCCGTCTCAACCTCCGGCTCCGGCGAAGCCCCCTTATCATCCTCCTCCTCCTCAATGCGACGCCGTTTCGACGACGAAAATGACCTCGTTTCACTCCGCAACCGCCGCTACGACTTCAATCCACTCTTGAATTTCCTCTCCAACCGCACCAATATCAGTGCTGCCACCGAATCCGGGTCGGATCCTCCGACCTCTCTCGACCGGGAGGAGTTCGAATTGGCCGAGTCGTACCGTGCCGTGCCGGCGCTGCTGTGGCACTCCCTCCTCAAGTCTCTCTGCTCAAAGTCCTCCTCGATTGGTCTAGCATACGCCGTCGTTTCGTGGCTGCAAAAGCACAACCTTTGCTTCTCTTATGAGCTGCTGTATTCGATTCTTATCCATGCCCTAGGTCGCTCCGAGAAGCTTTACGAGGCGTTCTTGCTTTCTCAGAGGCAAACCTTGACGCCATTGACGTACAACGCCCTAATCGGCGCTTGTGCGCGCAACGACGACCTTGAGAAGGCGCTTAATCTGATGGCCAGGATGCGCCAGGACGGCTTCCCCTCGGATTTCGTCAATTACAGCTTGATAATTCAGTCGCTCACTCGCAAGAACAAGATCGATTCGCCAATTCTGCAGAAGCTTTACAAGGAGATCGAATGCGACAAGATTGAGCTCGATGGCCAGCTACTGAACGACATAATCGTTGGCTTTGCGAAGGCTGGTGATCCTAGCCAGGCTATGCATTTTCTGGCGGTGGTTCAGGCCATGGGATTGAGCCCGAAGACGGCGACTTTGACTGCGGTTATATCAGCCTTGGGGAATTCTGGAAGGATCGTTGAAGCCGAAGCTTTGTTTGAGGAAATCAAAGATGGTGGATTGCAACCGAGGACTAGGGCTTATAATGCGCTTCTCAAAGGCTACGTAAAGGCTAGCTCTTTGAAAGACGCAGAGTCCGTCGTTTCAGAGATGGAGATGAACGGAGTTTCGCCCGACGAGCACACTTACAGCCTTTTGATCGACGCTTATGCGAATGCCGGACGGTGGGAGAGCGCCAGAATTGTGTTGAAGGAGATGGAAGCGAGCAATGTGCAGCCTAATTCTTACGTTTTCAGTAGGATTTTAGCGAGCTATCGCGACCGTGGCGAGTGGCAAAAGACTTTCCAAGTTTTGAGGGAGATGAAGAGCAGTGGTGTGAGACCCGACAGGCACTTCTACAATGTCATGATCGATACGTTTGGCAAGTTCAATTGTCTCGATCACGCAATGGCGACGTTTGAGCGGATGATTTTGGATGGAATTCAGCCCGATACAGTTACATGGAACACGCTTATAAACTGTCATTGCAAAGCAGGACGCCACGAAAGAGCAGAGGAACTGTTCGAGGAAATGCAGGAGAGAGGGTACCCTCCTTGCGCCACGACGTACAACATTTTGATAAACTCTTTTGGAGAGCAGGAGAGATGGGATGATGTGAAAGTCTTGCTGGGAAAGATGCAGAGTCAGGGATTGCTCCCTAATGTGGTTACTTACACGACACTGATCGATATATATGGCCAGTCAGGGAGATTTAACGACGCCATGGATTGCTTACAAGATATGAAGACCTCAGGCTTGAAACCATCCTCGACAATGTATAATGCCTTGATCAATGCTTATGCACAAAGGGTATGCTCTTCTGCACTTTGCATTCTTTGAAAGTATCCTTTAGACTGTTAATTCCTTTAAATTTAAGTACCGGTATGAGATTCATTCAAAATTAGATGGATTACTGAAGGTAAACTTGAAACCATAGCTAATTTTAGGATATTAAGTAAATCAAATCGAAAGGTGTCTAAAGAGAGAGTTTTTTAAGAGATTGGTAAGAATGCAAGGATGAATATCATATTTTACTTTAATACTTATGAGGATCTTGTAATTTTCTCGTCATATTGTTAATGGATTGGTTATGAGCCTGCATTTGATTTTCTGGATGTGACAGGGTTTGTCTGAGCAAGCACTGAATGCGTTCAGGCTTATGAGAGGAGATGGCCTAAAACCAAGTATTTTGGCTCTCAATTCATTGATCAATGCATTTGGTGAGGATAGAAGGGATGCTGAAGCCTTTGCCGTGTTGCAGTACATGAAGGAAAATGTAACCTGTTTCCTAATTTTGTTCACATTTAACCCTTCATTTTCCTCCTTATAATGATTTTGACAAGTAGAACATTTCTCTCTGCCTTACTAGAACTCCACTTGGTTCCTTATAATTGCAGGGCTTGAAACCAGATGTGGTCACATATACAACACTGATGAAAGCTTTGAATCGTGTTGACAAATTTGATAAGGTAGTGATTAGATTCGTCCTTTGTCATGGCTACCCGTCTACTTATTTGTTTAGGTTGACCATCTTTTTGTGTATGATGCCGGAGGAAAACTTAAAAACTCGAGACTAATAAGAAAATGACAATTTGGACAAGAAAGCTTGTTAAAAAGCTTGTATGCATGAAAAAAAATGTTATGGTATCATAAGCTATAATCACAAGCCATCATATAATCGCCTTTGGCTCTTTGTTGGGACATGTTTTATCTGATAATTTAGCATCTTCATCATACATGTATGGATATTAACTGCACGGTCTGGATTTCAGGTCCCCGTTGTGTATGAAGAAATGATTTCATCGGGGTGCACCCCTGATAGGAAAGCCAGGGAAATGTTACGGTCTGCTCTTAGATACATGAAACAAACGCTGAAACGGGATAGTTAAGCTATATCAACAGATTGACTTGCACAATTATATGGAATAAAATTCTATTTAGTTTATTTGGTTCTGGACCGGAGTTATTGGCCATGGACATCAGCTGAAACATGTCCTACTGTATTACACACATTCATGGTAAGCAAATTTATACAAACTTCCGCGAGTTATATCCTTTATAGAGTAAGAGAATTCTAATAGACTTTTTGATGATTGATACATCTCATATCTTGATATGAAAAGATTTCTGTTTCTAATCTGAAGATTTTTTTTTTTTTTTTTTTTTTTTTTTTTTTTCAGGAAATGATTGTCGAGTGTTCTTTTTAGCTCGAGAAGAACACTCGATTTCGGCCAATGAGGTTACATTATCTGGGAGTTGAACTTTAAGATCAAAAAATGAAAACAAGCCAGAAAAACCTCCCACTCAACCTCCGCAAATTCTCTACAAATTTGAATTTGTATAATACAGTCAATTCTCATTCCTTTTTTCCTGCTTAAGCTATATCAGTTATTCTTGTACTATATTAATATACAATAAAGCCAAGCTTTGTTAAAATTTTAAATTGCTTATATTTTATTATATAGTTTTAAACGTGTGTGCAGGAGGCAAAGTATTGCGACGGTGTGCACTTGTACAATTAAAAGGAAAAAAAAAATTAACATGCATTCTTTCAAAAAATATGGAATTACATCACTACATGTGCGATGTCAGAGAGGAATGGCGGAAACAATTGGTCTCTTGCCTTTTGATATTCTGGCACAGAACATGAACATTAAAAGCACAGAGGATAACAAAAAAAGCCTGAAATATGTTCTTATCTCCTGCATCCCAAGCTCAAGAACCTCCTTCTTCTTCCCATATCTACTACTCCTTTCCATTAAATATCCTTCAAGATACTCATCAATAGATACCCACTTTTCCGATTTGGATGAAGAAGCCTTTGAGAGAATTTCACCAAGCTGGTGGGGCCCCAACTTTAAGATTGTGAAAAATGCCGCTGACCAATCATTTAGTACTCTCTGAAACCCAAAAAGAAGCTCCATTAATAAGACTCTATATCAAATGTTTGCTCTAGATTTTAAGCCTCGAGAACAAAGGGGAAAGAGCGTTAAAATGTGATTAGCGTAATTGTAACATACGTTGAAGGTGTTGATGTCGGTAGGATTAAACATTTTAAAGCAATCTTTTGGTGAAGCTGCTTCGTCGCCATATATCTGTCAGTCGGCAGAAATATTATATGCGCCAGTTCAATGAGAAATGCACCATTGATTATTAAAACTTTTAAACAAAAGAAATACTTTTAACAGACCTCGAATGTAAACGCCATGGGGACCTTTACAATGTCGTACATATAATCTGTAGCTGTTCCATGCGCAAGATACCTGGAATAAAGCACATAAGCATATTAGCTTTTAGACTTTTTGGACGGACGAGGGGCCAAAAGGGGTAAAAAAAAAACTAAATACGTAAATTTTACAGTACGCCAACATTTTGTAATTTTCATTGTTGCTATGTCATTATCGTGTGCAGTTGAAGAATATAATGCTGGAAGTTGAAATGACGATCAGCCATATACTGAAGAGATATCATTTCACAGATTATTATGGAGCATCTAAACAGGTGGAACTTATGGTTCTAGATAGTAGTAAATGGGACTACCCAACAGAGCCTCCGCCAGATCCAATCATGCAACGTTCATCGCAATGAAGGTGGTTCAGCTTCTTAAGCAACAACTTCATTTGTTGAGAAGCAATTCCGTCGGGAGTAGTATTTTTATGGTCGTATGGCATAAATAAGGCCTGAAAACAACAAGCAATATGAGGCACATAACAAGTACACAAATAGAAAACAAAATAAACAAAAGCAAGAAGCAACTACCTCCATTCCTGAGTGCACGTTGACCCATATATGTGGGTCAAAGGATATTCCAAGTTTCCTCATTATCTGAGTTTCAGGCTCACTAAACGGTGCCGTTCCGGGATTTTCTTCATATGGATCATAATCCTGTAATTAGAAAAACATAAACGAGGAAACCAAAAAGTTTTGAGCATGTAATAGCAGGCGAACGAGTGTGACGTGTTTTGCAAAGAATCACTTAAAAATGTATACAACGCAAGAAAATCTATATCCTAGAAAGGCACAACGGACCTTCTCCTTTTTGCCCCAGTCTACGCTCCAATTTCGATTGAGATCAACACCTCTCCCTGCACAAAGTACGAATTTTAAGCATTTATTCACCCAAGAAATCAAATTTACTTCAAAAACGTTGCAATGAGCTACGTTACCATTTCTTCTCTCACAAAGATCTCCTGCTTCAACAAGTTCACGACCATTTGAGTTTTCCATTGGCACCACCTAACATATCATTAGATTTTAGTATCCAAACTAAGACAGAATTAACAACACCTCTCCTAAAAATAAAACTATTACAATTTATATTGCTCAAGTATAGGTCCCTCAAACATTGCATAGTGAGAGGCTGGTCAGTTTGCTCTGGTTATCCTTAGTGATTATGTGACAATCCGTCTAAAATGGGTCGTTGATCCATATCCAACAATGTTGACACAAAAAAGCCACTAGAAGTAAATCTACAGGCATATAAACACTAACTAGGGAAAAGACTCTACGGGTACCAGCAGTAGATTAGAAGTTACCTTAATAATAAACTTATCAAGCGTACTATTTAGGGAAGTGGGATCCAAGTCGGGTAGAAATTGCTCCTCACTCAAGATTGTCAAGATCCTCAAAGCAAGTTCAGATGTAATAAGCTCCCTCCCATGCTGCCCAAAACTCTGGAAGACAAGGAATCATCTGTCAAAAACACCACCCATTACCAATCTGAGACAATCTATCCACTAAATCATAACTTATGCTCTGTTTAAAGCCCCGCATACATTAAAATTCAATAATAGGAAAACCTGAACACTGCACATTGCTACTTGTCCCTTATGTAAATTCTGATCAATTGTGGCGCGCCTAAATCGAAGAATATAATATAAAATTCCTGGAGAACTTACAAGAAGGATCCGAAACTTGGACTTGTCATCGCTCTCTTGCCTTCTACGGCAAAATGTTACTACTTTAACGTCCGCTTGGTAACCCTTGTTCCTAGATTTAACTGTTTCCAACTGTTTTTTAAACGCATGAACAATCAGTATCAAATTCAAGCATAGTGAGTGATTATAACAGAAAATTCCATTAAAAAGACAAACATACAGTGAGCTTGTCTGGGTGACGATTTACTAAAGCCTTTATCTCTTCCATCAAATCCTCACTGCAAAATTCCACCGAAAGCAAATTCAATTTTACTAATCAATATTAAAACTGATTGTATTCTGATAAATAGATAGTTTGTGCTAAGATTAGTATAAACTTAAATCCAAAGTAGTTTAAGTAGGTTTTCAGTATTGTTTTCCTGAGAAATAGAAAAGTTAATTTCTGCTACGATTAGCGACAATACATGATTAACCGGCCACACAAACGTGATTACTAGAACAGTGAATCGATTTGAGGATTAATGGGGGGAAAACTACTTAAACTACTCCGATTTCAAAGATTTAGGTCTCAGAAACACAAATCAAGAATTTCATTTTCCAATTTAAAACAAATCAGTCAAAATTCGCGTGATTCAAAAGAGTGATTTAACAATAAACAAAGATTTACCTGGAGTGGTAGAGATCGCGATTGATGGGCGTGAGAGAAGGGTCGTTGAGATTATTGCCTTTAGCATCGACGACTATCGAAAAGAATTGCAAAGAAGCCAAAAAACACCAACTGAAGAAGAAGAAGAGAAAACCTAGACGACCCATGCCCAGACGCAGAGAGAAGAAGAAGAAGAAGAAGAAGAAATAAGATATTCTGTTTCAAATGCTTTATTGATTCATTTTGGTGCCATTTTCTTTTCCATGTTTGAGACTTGAGAGACTTTTTTCCTTTTTTAATTAAACAGTTAGTGCGCGATGTGTCCACGTTCAACGGTCTCGATAGCTCCAGTTCTTATTATCTTCACCAATCAGATTGAAGGAACAGACGAGCCCACCTTAAAAATTATTGTTTTCTTCATGTTAATTTTTAATTTTAACATTTAAATTTTAAATTTTTATAAAAAATAAATACTATAACAGAATCAAATTCATATATTTAAATACAACAAACAAACGAGTTCTTAATGGATTTTGAATTTGGGATTGATCACATATGTCATATTATTCATATACATGGAAAAAATAATGTGGTTTGTATTGTTTATTCATATACTAAATTAAATTTCCGAATTTAAATACGTAATTGTGTTATTATATTTGATAATGGCATTAAACTCGAGGAACGATAATCCTAACATTTTTTCTGGTTGAAAACAATATTACTCCTTTTATATGTTCATTGATTGTATAATTAAGTATTTAATTATTAAATTCTTTGATAATGTAATATCCACATTAAGCAAAATTATTCAAAATTTAAACTTTTGAACCACCCCATCTTAAAAGAGAGAGGGAGAGTGAGAGAGAGAGAGTGTGTGTGTGAGTGAGAGAGAGAGAGAATAGCATCTGCTTTTTATACGTTCATTTTCAATTTTTAACCTCTGCTTTTATCTTTTAGGAAATAACAAGAGGCAATTCATTCTTTTCGCTGATTCGAGTTTTGTTACGGTAAAAAATTCTCAGAAACAGTTACATTTAATTTTTTTATTACAGTAAAAAATTCTCACACTACATCACATTTCAACTCGAATTAACGAACCAAACACATTAAGAGAACTATTCCAATTAACGACATCAAGTTCCAAACAAAGTCTCCAAATGGTAAGATAAACTACAAGTCGTTTTTATTATCTGATAACATGAAAATTTAAAAGGAAAACCAACTGATGCTAATAGAGATATCAGTCTGACAATGTAACTATGAGATCAAATTGAAATTGTACTTGTTTAGCCAATACGATTTGCAAACATCAGAACTTCTTGGTTGAGAGTGAATTCCTTGTTGTAATTGTATAAACTTTGAACTTAACCATTTAAGAATTGCAGTTCCATCAAGTTAAATACCAGTCATCAATGACGTGAAATTGAACAATCCAGAGCAAGTTCTAATGTTTTAAATAAAAAATAAATAAATAAAGGAGAGCAGGTGGTAGAGAAAAGTTTAGAATACGTTCCATTTGCAAAATAGAGATTCACGGGCGAGTTTTGTGCCATTTTAAGGCTTTTGATGGTGCCTTCAAATCTTTAACGGCAACTATTGCACATCGAAAACAAGTTAAAACATACATGCTTAGTCAAAGGCAAGCCAGGAAAACCTCACGTCCTTGACAACAACCACCCTGCATATTTCCCGGAAAATGATATTCATCCCGAGTCGGGATAACTCGGAATTAGAGGGCAGTGGGTCCTACCTTGCCCACACCCCTCTAATTGCGAGTCATCCTGCTTTGGATGAATAGAAGTGCTCATATTTCTCAAGTAAAAGAAGAACGCTTCAATGACACATATGAAAATCAAAAGATAAAAGTGGTTAACAACTTGATGAAGGTTGGCAAATAATTACACATTCCAAAAGGTCAGAATCTTGAAATAACTAAACCTAAGCTTATATGAATTAGAAACAAATAATATACACACATATCTCGAAATGCTTCCATGCAAAGATATGGTTTGTTGAAAAGCTGGATATAAACTTTTCAATCTTTTTTTAGCTCAAGGTAGGACAATTAAAATGAGACCACCGAAGCAGGAAGTCCACACACTAAGTTTTGTTCTCAAATCATAACTAACAGACAATACATTGCTTCCATCTTGTTAACTCAGAGAAGAAGACAAATGTGAAAGAATTTTTTATTCCGCAACTAACTTCCAAAGAATAGGGCATTTTTGAAACTAATAACAGATAAAACCTCGTTCATTTCACTGATTTGAGTTTAAAATTCGAGTTTTGCTACAAGCTCTTAGAAACAGTCATATCTAACCTTTTTGCTACAGTAAAAAACTCTCACATAAAGTCACATATTAATTCGAATTAAAAATTTAAATAAGCAAACTAAACAAGCCTATATGAAGTGGTAATACACAAATAGGTGCAAGTTGAAATAAACTAAGAATAGGAGCAAATGAATATCCATTATTAGCATATTTAACACTAACAAAATCCTTGAATCAGCTTCCAGTTCCACTATATATAGCTTTGCACTAAGCACAAAAAAATACATAAAATCAAAATTCTATTAAAGATCACCACTTGCAACACCACCACGATCCACTATATATGGCTTTGCACTAAGCACAAAAAGTACATAATTTTATGTGATAAATTACATTTACCAGATTTATTCTATTTATTAACCTTTTTAAAAAATTTATGCTATTTATTTCTTTCAATATCTTAAAAATGCTATTTCCCTCCTTCTCTTAGTGACACGTAAAGTTCTAATGGCCCAGTTGAATTCCACCTTCTACGGGGACAGAGACATTGATATCAATGGCAAATCATATAATAAGAATTTTGTGTACCAAACAACCTCTGTTATTTTCTCCTTGTTTCTGTTGGTAATATGTGTATATTACAACTCATGTCAAGTTACATAACAATTCTTCAGAGCGACAAATAAAAAAGTTATATTCGCAATTCAAAGAACTATTATATCCAACATCTCCAAAACTATTTTTCTCCTATATTTAAGATTACTCTTTTCATAAAAAAACTATTTTTTAATTTACAAGACACCCATAGAGTAAGAGTAGTATAACCACAACTACAAAAATTCCCCCACCAACTCAATTGGACTCCAAACCCATGCCACAGATCTTCTCCGGCCGAGGAGCCTCCCAATTCCCCGACCGTCTCTTCATTTTCTCAAAATCATCAACACACTTCTTCAGCGTCAAACTTCCTCCTCTTTTCCTCTCAGTCGCGAGCTTTTTCCCAGCGACTCGATCGAACATCTTCTCCCAACCGCTTTCCCACTCGCCATGCGCGTCGCAGAGCTCGAGCGTCCCGTTTGCCCAATCCGTCCAGCTCCACCCCCTGTAGAGCCCCGCCATCACGTCGCCCACGCACTGCCCTCGGCAAACCGGCGCGCACGGCCGGCACTTGGCACCGCTCAGAGGCCCGCGGCTCGACAGCGCCGCCACCGGCACGCCGAACCGGCTCGGAGGGAAATCGTACTTGCGGTCGGAAACGACGCAGAAGGGGAGGCGTTTCGCGACGTACGACACTTTTCGGGTGGTGAGTTGGGCTCGGAAGGCGGTCTCCGAGTTGAGTTGACGGAATCCGGCCGAGTCGAGCTCGGGGATGAGGGAGAGGCGTGAGAGGGCGACTGTGGAGGTGTTGAGGTCTCCGATTCCGAGGCGGTCGTTGAGCCCGCCATAGGTGGACCCCGGTGGGACCAAGTACCGACCCGGGACGAAGTTACTCGGGTGCAGCGGTGCGTTCCAGTATCCATCTACTCGGGTTCGGACTATCCAATCGTATTTGAATTTGTGTTGTTTTTGGTACTTTTGGATTAGCTTTAAACATCCTTCTACCAGGTTAAAATATTGCAAAAGGCCCTGAGAAAAAAACAAAATAGACAAATAATAAATGCTTAAAATGTCAGGGGGAACATGGAGAAAATAAAAAAAGAATTTGCAGAGAAAAATGATTTGCCAACCATTATATATTCCGTATGTCGATATAATAGTCTAAAGTACATCTACACGTGGTGAACATAAAAGATTGCAAATCCGTTTTGATGTGCCATCAAACCGTTCCCGCGGATATTATTATTTTTTAGTAGACGATTCCAGTTTAGTACAGTCAGAAAGAAAAATCACTTATTAACTTTTAACACAGAATTCATTTTAAAATAATTTTATTTTTTATATAAAAATAAAAATAAAAATATTTTTAATTTTAGATAAAAATTATTTTTAAA